GGGGTTTTTGTTTTTTTTTTTTTTTTTTTTTTTCCTGTCTTGATGAAATTTTTTTAAGCAATTCCTCCTGAACACAGACACTGACCCAGGCTTGCATCTTCAGAAGCAGGCGCTGTGCTGGTGGGAATGAGCCGGCCTCCCTCTGCCCTGCTTTGTTAAGGGGCTGCCTGTGTCCCTGCGAAAGAAGGAAGAGGACCTTGAGGACTGTGTTGCGATTTTGTGTAGCAATAATGAACGTCCAGCCTTTAGTGAGAAAACCTGCTGTGAGGAGCCACACGAGCACTTTATTTTCATGAGTTTCAAATTAAGTCCAACGCCAGCCCTAGATTCCTCCCCATGGCTGCCTGCCTGGTCCTTGCCCATCTAGGTTTCTGGCTGCATCTGCTCAAGAGATCTGGGATTTTCTTCTCAAGCAGAAAGGGAAGGGTGGGTTTGCACTGCTGCCCCAGAAAGCGGGTGCTTTCCGGGTAATAAGCTGGAGACTTTCGGGCTTCGGCCCTCCTCGAGGGCGCTGGTGGAGGCTGGAAGTCGGGCGGTGCACCTCCGGTGGCTGGAACACGGGTGCCAGTCTCAGGACCGAGCCGGATGCCAGGCCCATCCCAATGGCCCCAGGTGGGAGGTGGCAGAAGCCCAGAACTGCAGGGCTCTCTGCTGACCCCGGGCCTGGCCCCACCGTCCTGGAGGCTGCCCTGTGTGCTTCCCCCACCCCCCAGTGCTGGGTCGGACACACATTTGAAGAGAAGAAAGCGCAGCTTGGTGTGGCGTGGCGAGCATGGCCTTCGGTCTGCGGGGTGGTGCTGGGGCCTCGGCAGCACTTCCCACTCTGGTCCCGCCCCACACTGCGTCCCAGGCCCGCAGCCCTGCTGGAGGACTGCAGGGCAGTGCGAGCAGTTGTTGGAGAAATAAACGTGCACATGGAACATGGCACACCGAGTGTTTCCTGCCAAGCCCTGTGCGTCTTGGGAGCCCCGCGGGGCTGGGGGGGTCCTCTGAGCCACCATTTCTCTCTGTCACAGCCGGCTGACCTGAGGAGGGACAGGTGGGGAACCCTGTCTGTTCATCCTTAGTGCCCAGCAGAAGACTTTCCTCCTGACATTTTCCCATTACTAGAGATTGAACCCGCAGCCTCTGAATTCCGCCACATTCCCAACACTTCATTTCTTATTTTGAGACAAGGTCTCACTGTGTTGTTCAGACTGGGCTCAGTCCTCCTGCCTCAGCCTCCTGGGATGCTGGGATTACAGGCATGTGCTAAAATCACACACTTTCAGAAAGAGCCAGGCCCCTCTCGGATGGTGCTGAACTGTGTACACTCATGCCGGGGAACATCGGAGCCTCTGTCCCCCAGTGGCACAGCCTGGCACACCTGCTGTGGGCACATTTGGGGAGCTAGCAGGGTGCAGCTCAGGATGCCCACTATGTGGGGACCCACCTGATCTGAGAGGGTACCTGCTGTCCTGGTGGGGGTCCCCACTGGGGACAGGAGCCGGCCCAGCCCTCGTGTGACTGGGGGTCCCCAGGAAACACTGGGTCCTGGCCAATCTTCTACACTGCCTGGATGAATCCACAATCTACCCACCCGAGTCAAGTGCAGAGGTTAAAGCCTGTGGCCTTTTCCATACAGCAAGCTGCCTGCAACAGTCGAGAATATTATAAAGTAAGACTCCACATTTTTTTTTTTTTTTTTGGTAGTAGGGATCGAACTCAGGACCTTGCACTGGTGAAGCAGGCAGTGGAACCACTGAGCTAAGTCCCCGGCTCCATGTTTTACACAGTAGTGATTAATCCATTTGCTAATAAGTGTCTATTCCCTTTATCTTATGATAAAAATTAGATAAAAAAGGGAGAGGTGGGCAGAGAAGTGGATAAGGATATGTATGATGCCTTTTTCTTCTGAGACAAGGTCTCCCTATTAGCTCGGGCTGACCTTGAACTCAGTTAGCCCAGGCTGGTCTTGAAATTGCGGCGATCCTCCTGGCTCAGCCTCTCGAGTGCTGGGATTACAGGTGTGCAGCGCCCTGCCTATGACCCCTTCAACAGGAGTTTTACATTGAAATCACACTGACCGAGGGTGCTGGTTGGCAAGCGCAGAGCTGGTGCACATGTGGTGTGTGTTTGGGGAGAACACTTCACAGGAACAAGGGCCATGGAAGCCTGTTCCTTTAAAAAACATGCAGCCATTGAAAACACCATGACTGCCCACAGCCACACGCCTGTCAGCGAGCGCTCCAACTTAGCCAGTCCCTGCTTTGATCGTCCGTCCCTCCCTCCCTCCGACTGTCTATCGTCTGTCAGGAGGCATAGGGCTGTTTTGCTGCAAACCCTCCATGCTGCACCTTCGTGGCAGAGGGCCAGATGTCGCAATCTAGTTGGCGACTCTGGGAGCCCAGGACACTGCAGTTACTGCCCAGGGTCACTGTCATGGCCACATGGGTCTATGTACCCCAGCACAGCCTTCAGTGTTCTCCCTGATGGACCCCAGATGCTTTAGGCCTGGGGCAGCGGGTGGCTGTGAACCCAGTACCGCCGGAGCAGGTTGTGTAAGAGGAAGGGCTTAAGGTGTCTCTGCTCCTGCTGTTCTGGTCACTTTTATCTGTAAACTACCCGCTTGTGCTCCTGGGTGCTGCGGGGGAGTTATAGTATAAAGCACCGGAACGGGCATTTATCTCCCCCATGTATGGGTCCTGGGTGTCAGCCTGGTGGGGAGCCCTTGGACAAGGACCGGAAGCAAGAGCTGCAGAAGGACCGAAGGCAGGCTGCAGGCACGCGGGCTGTCACAGCCCAGGAGGGACTCAGCAGAGGACAGTCCTGGCCGGAGGTCCCGGGTCCCTGGCAGACCTCGAGGAGCCTAGAGGGGGCCGTGAGCACCCTCCTCTCCGCTGCAGCCTGTGGCCCCCGCAGGCACCCGGGGCTGCTTGTCCCCGACCTACACAGGTGTCCATCTGCAGGGGAGCCCCCGCGTGCGGCCTTGAGATTTCTCTGACTGCCTGCGGGGGGGTCACGCCCCACCTGCAGCGGCCTCCTGGGCGCTTCTCCGCTCTCTTCCAAGTAACGCTCCAAACTTTCTTTGCCAGTCGAATAACTAAAAAGGGTCTTGGGGCAGCTTTCTGATCACCGCTGCACTTACGAGTCAGCACCCCTCTGAGCCTCGCCGGCCGCGGCTTCTCATTCCCCGCGGGGCGAACGAGTCCGTGCATTCGCAGCGCCGGGCAGAGTTTGCC